TACTTGTCAAAATTTAAAATGTACAAAAGTGGAAAGGAGTGTTGAAATGGGCTTAAATAGGCCCGTCTGAGAGGTTTGACTAAGACGCGGCACGTGACGCGACAGCTGTCCTCTGAATGACATGCGTAATAAATGCCGCTGTAAAAAAGATAACTACAACAGTCCAACGGGTAGATTTGAAAAGCGAACCGTCGAATTCGAAACGATGTCGTTTAATAGTTAACCGTCGAATTCGAAACGATGTCTCTGTAGCCGTTAGATTGAATTAATCACAGCCGTTGGGGCGTATTTTGCCTTTGGTATAAAAGGCTATACTTCTGTAAAAGGAGACTTTTTTACTCTCGTTATTTTGCTAGTATATCCTTGTGAAATTTCTGCGGTTTCGTGCGGTTTGTGCTTCGATTAAGACTTCAACAACAGTTTCGTAAGATCAAAATCAGGTAAAATGTACAAATTTTTAACTTCAATTTTGAATTCTTGAGTTCAATTTTGCTGGTATGCTATTCTCCTTCCTATCTTTCTGTGGTTGATTTTGTGTTTTTTGGAGGAAATTAGGGTGGGGAGTGAGAATGTGTTGAGTGTGTTGGAATTGTTTAGGGTCCTGACATCGTTCCTCCTCCCCCTGTATGTAGAAATTGAGATGTCTTCAGAAGAGGCCAGGAGTGTGGTGGGGAGTGAAGTGATGCCTTTGGAGTATGGTAGTATGGATATGGAGAGCAGTCCGTCTCCAACGAGTTCGGAGAGGACGATGGAAGAGAGGAGGGAAGAAGTAGTAGTAGAGGAGGAGGAAGAGGAGATCCCCTCAAACGTGTTAGAATCTGGGGGTGGCGTAGATGGGTGCTATGACCTGGACTTAGAGATAGTGTCTGAGGTAAAGGGGTATGTGAGCGAATTAGGTAGTAGGAGTAGCCTTAGGGGGTTAGTGGGAAACTGTAACCTTCCCCACCATGTCCTAATCTGACCGGCCGGGGTGAATGAGAGGGCATGCTCAGCACCCCGAGACCATTGGATGCCTATATACCTGTATTATTTGATTGCAGGGCTTAGGTTTCCCATTCCAGAATTACTGGTTGGGCTGTTATTAGATTATAGTATAGGAATAACCCAGCTAACTCCCAATGCCATGAGGGCAGTAATAGGTTCTCTTGTATACTGCAGAGTTCGGGGGGTTGGGGTCCCGACAGTAAATATGTTTAAACATTTTTTTATAATTAAGGCTGGGGGTAGGGGGGAGAAGGGATGGTACTACTTCGGCCCTCGGTCGTCCAGCAAAGGGAATAGGACTTTATTCTCTGTTGGACCGTCATCCATCAAAGGGTGGAAAGAAAAATTCTTCTTTGTGGATGACACCGAGTGGAGTAGGAGGGATGCCGAAGTGGAACAGTTGTCTGCTTGGAAAGCTAAGAAAACCAAGCAGAACAACTATAAGTTAAATGAGGATGAGGTGGGGGAGGTGGAGAAGCTGGTGAGGGAGGACGGAGACGTGGTGGACATCCTATACCTCACTAGTCCGCAGGCAATAGAAGCTGCTGAGCTCTATGGGCCAAGCTCATTGAGCGAGGGTCTGTATATGTTTACATTGTGCTATGTTAGTTAGATCTTAGTTTATGCGTTTTGACTTTTGTGCTTGTTTTGCAGTTGAGATGGAGGAGTTTACCGATGCTGTTGGGGGGTTGCGCATCCCAAAGAAGCCAAGGAAGAAGTCAACGACTTCAGTTGCGGCGAACAGAGGGGTGCCCGAGAGAGAGCGCCTGCCCAGCACTTCTGCCCGGGCCATGGAGGTGCAGCCAAGGCCGGAGCCTGTGATTGGGGGCAGCGAGGATGTAAGCGAGGAGACGGCTCTGCTCCAGAGGAAGAAGAGGAGGGTGGCAGAGCTAGAAAGTAGGGGGGATGAGGTGGTGGAGTTCATGCCTCGACCTTCTCCTCCAGAAATCGATCCTGAGGTCTGGGAGAGGGAAGAGGCCGAGGTGCAAGGCCTTAGTGGGGGCAGGGAGCGCACCCCACCCCACGCGTACCAGAAAAGTTTGTTTGAGGCGACAAACATGACTGGGGTGAAGCTCTTTCTCAACGCTACGCTTCCTGACGTGGATAGGATGCAAGCGAAGAACGAGGTGCTTAGCCATGCGGGGTATACCGTTGTGAGGCATGCCCTATTTTACTCCGGTTGCATGTTTGAGTTTTTTGTCCCCTATGTTTGATGTTTGACCTCTGATTGCATTGTAGAGTGCGAGTTGGACAAACGCTCTAGCGCAAGAGTATACAGAGAGCGTTAGAGATCGTGCCAGCTTGCAGAGGCAGTGCGATGCCCTGCGAAAGGAGAAGGAGGAGCTGCAGAAGGAAAAGGGGGAGTTGCAGAAGAAAAACCAGCAGATTCAGAGGAGGCTGGATGAGGTGACACCAACAGTGACCGAGCTCCAGAGTGATAACAGTGTCTTGAGCACGAAACTCTCTCTTGAGGAACGTAAAAGGAAAATTTGCGAAGAGAAGCTCGAGGCTCAAGACAAATATATCGAGAGCCTGAAGAAAGGGGCAGTGGAGCTGAAGAAGAACGTGGAGCTGTTGGTGCACAATGGGATGGAGGGACATATTGGCAACTTCCTCAACTCCAGCACCTTCGAGGGCATCCTCAAGCTGTACCGGCTGCCAACCGCCATCCTGGCCTTCACCGACTGCAGAAAGAAGGTGAAGGCCCAGTACCCAGAGGTGGACGTGACAACGGTCACTTTTGGGGAACAGGAGGAAGGAGTGGAGGAAGATGGCGAGAGTCTCTGTGCGGACTTCCGTCCTCAGATTACTCTGAGGTGGGAGCGTGATGTAGAGGGGCGCACCATTTTTCCGCCAACCTTTGATGCTGAGTTGGTGGCCGTGGAGGGAGAAGAAGAAGAAGAAGAAGGAGCGTTAGGCGCTGGTGTTGGGGATCAGGCAGCAATGGCCGAAGTGCAGCCTCCTGAGGTGCATCCAGTCTCCTCTGACGAGGTGCAGTAGCTGGCCCCTCCTGAAGTAGAAGTGCTGCCTCAACCTGCTGAAGATGGACCCAGATCCCCACCTTTTCCTGATGAGGAGCAGCCTCCTCCTCCAACAGAGTAGTTTAGGATTTTCTTTGCATTATTGATGTAAATAACATTGTTATATTTAATGTATAAAATTTTTGAATTGATTATTGTCTGGTGTTCAAGCTTTAATTTGTGATTGATGTTTTCCTTTGAGGAACTTTTTATGGTAAAATAAGTTAACTGGAATTAACACAAGGTTCTGACCTCGGATAAACAGTATAGTAATTGACTTCGGATATCCATAAGATATACCTTGAAGACGAAGTAAAGCACTTCAAAAATAAAGTGTAATTGACTTAATAGGATTATAACCCTAAAATGAAGTGGCTGAATGAGTCAGAATAAATGAAACTCACTTCCTACGTACAGAAGAGTACACAGAACTGAATTACTTTGGTCGTGAAGTGAAACTTATTAATGAATTGAGTTAAAATACACTTTAAATTGAGCAGAAGGAGTGAAAGTAGGAATTATCAAAACAAAGTTCACTTAAATGAAGTACACTTAAGGGTAAAACTTCTTCAGGTTATTGATATTCCAGACTCTGGGAACTCGTTTGCCTTCAGTGTCCCGTAGGATATAAGCACCTGGGTGTGGCACTTCGGCGACAGTGTATGGGCCTTCCCAGTTTGGTGCTAATTTGCCGAATCGAGTTTCAAACCCCGTTAGACCAGCTTTTCTGAGAAGAAGGTCTCCTACTTTGAATGATCGGGGTCGAACTCGTTTATTGTAGAAGTTTGCTATTTTCTGCTTGTAGACTAGAGTTCGAAGTCGTGCTTCTTCTCTGAGGTCATCAAGTAGATCAAGGTTCTCCCAAAGCAGTTGTCCATTCCGTCCTTCATTGAAATGGGTGACTCTGAAGCTTGGAACTCCTATCTCGATAGGAATGACTGCTTCGGTACCAAAGGCTAGATGATATGGTGTTTCACCTATTTCAGGGTATTATAATTTTAGAATGCGCTTTACACGTTATGCATATTTGCTCTTCGGTAAAATCGTAGCAGAAGAAGTAGAGTAATATAAAATTAATCAAATAGGCCAGTTGTAGAGTAATACCTGTGGCAGTTCGACTCGTAGTTCTGTATGCCCAAAGGACGTTGTTGAGCTCGTCTGCCCATTTGGCCTTGTGTTGTTCCAACCTCGGCTTTATACCTTCTAGGATGCACTTGTTAACAGATTCGACCATGCCGTTTGACTCTGGATGGTAAATCGAGGTGAACTGCAGTTTAATCCCGTAGCTGGAACAGAAATCTCGAAAAGAGGTGCAGTTAAATTGAGGTCCATTATCAGCCACAATCTGATTCGGGATCCCATATCTGCAGATTATTGAGTTGAAAACAAAGTCTTCAACCTTCTTGGAAGTAAGACTGGATAACGGCCGAGCTTCAACCCACTTTGTGAAATAATCTACACCAACAATCAGGTGGGTTACACCACCAACCCCCTTCACGAATGGGCCCAAGAGATCCAATCCCCACTGAGCAAATGGCCATGGTGCTACCAGAGTAGTGAGCTCTTCTGCATGCTGGTGAGTCAGGTGTGCAAAGAACTGGCATTTCAAACATCTCTGAACAAAGTGAGTGGCATCCTTGTACATGTTGGGCCAATAATAACCCTGTCTAAGGACTTTATGAGCCAAAGTTTGACCACCCACGTGACTTCCGCAGACACCTTCATGCACCTCCCTAAGTGCATATTCTGCTTCATAGGGATTCAAGCACCGTAGAAGAGGTAGAGAGAAAGATCGCTTATAGAGGATCCCATCAACAGGTGTATACCGAGATGCTTTCCTCCTCAACTTCATTGCCTCCTGCCTGTCCTCAGGTACTATCCCCTCTCGTAAGAAGGAAAGGATTGGGTTAGTCCAGCTCGGTGTGCCTGGGTCGGTGCTGATCTCCATCACCCGTGGCTTCACGAAGCTTGGTTCATTTAAGACCTCCACAAAAACTGATCTGGAATGTGAAGAACTATCAGAGGCGAATTTAGAGAGTGAATCTGCCTGTTCATTCTTAGTTTGGGGGATTTTGCTCAGACAGAATTTCTGGAATTTGCACTTCAGTTTGGCCACCAGAGCTACATATTTCACCATCACAGGATCAACAACTTCGCAAATTGAGTTAATTTGGTTCACCACCAGTTGGGAGTCACTGTATACTTGGATCGCACTAAGTTTTAATTCCAAGGCTAGCTGCAGACCCAGTAGCAGGGCTTCATACTCAGCCATGTTGTTTGTTGCATCGAAGTTAAATTTCAGAGCATGTTCACTTCGGTATCCATCTGGGCCAATCAAGAGAGCACCAGCTCCTGAACCTTTGCTACTAGATGCCCCATCAACATATAAGGTCCAGTCATTGGGCTCCGGAGTAGGAATGGAATTACCTGGAGTACACTCTACAATGAAATCTGCTAGTGCCTGAGCTCGGACTGCAGATCTCTGCTGAAATGTTATCTCGAACTCCCCCAGTTCTACTGCCCACTTAATTAATCTTCCAGAACACTCAGGCTTTTGCAGAATCTACCGAAGGGGTTGGTCTGTAAGAATAATGATCGGGTGCGACTGGAAATACGGCCTCAACTTTCTGGCCGAAGTGACGACTGCTAAAGCTGCTTTCTCAGCTATAGGATACCTCAGTTCGGCTCCATGCAACACACTACTGATATAATATATTGGTTTCTGCTGCTTGGCTTCTTCTCTTACCAGAATCGAACTAATGGCTTCATCTGAAATTCCCAGATATAGATAGAGGATTTCTCCATCTTTGGCTTTAGTCAGTAGAGGTGGTGAGCTAAGGTAAGACTTCAGCTCGTCGAATGTGGCTTGGCATTCCTGAGTCCACTCAAACTTCTTCTGTTTACCCGATTCATCCTTCTGGGCA